GACCAAACACCGTCTTCTGCAGCAAATCTCTAAAAGCACACATAAAATAGTTCAACTTAAAAATATACCTTACACCTTTTCCCTCATGTCAGGTGATGAAAGTCATATCAACTGTTTGTACTTAGAAAGGAACCCGACAGCTGGAGCAGAATAAAAGTAGCTACAAATTTTAATTTTCTGTCAGCCTTTGCTCTCTGTGCTCAGGCCAGTCCTCCTGAAGATGTGATCATGGCTGGGCTGAGAGGAGCTCAGTCAGAGTATCTGAAAGGTGGATGTCCTGGTTTAGGGAATCATTTCATTTCTGTGTTGTTGGAACAGAGGAAGACAGAGCAGAGGATCACACATGTCCTCATTTGGCCTTTTCTCTGTCAGTTCTGTGCACAGCTCTAAACACAGTGTCAGCAAACTCCGTGTGATTTCTCCTTGGATCATTACCTTTGGTGGCTGTAGACAACAAAACTGAACAGAAAACAGAAGAAAACTGTTGGAGGTGCAGCTGGGGCAGAGGAGCACAGATCCTCCCAGCCACAGACTCATCTGTACCCTGGAGAGGAATTTCTCCCACCTTGGAGCTGTGCTCAAACCTGCTAATTCCATACACAGCTTCACAGCTGCGCCAGCTCTGCTTGTTTCCACTCCCAGAGATGAAAAAAACTGACTGCTAATTTTTGATGACTGCTTTATGAAGTCTAGAAGTGATTAACAGACTTGCAACAGCATTACTACAGTGATAGAGCTGTCTTCATTAAAACCTGAAACCACAGAGAGAAACCCTCTCCCCATATCCAGGTAGAAAAGCCTCCAAAGAAATGATTCAACACGTAAGATGCCAAGTGATCCAAGCACCAAACCACTGGCAGACCTTGAGAACACAGGTGTCAAATTCCTCATCCCTACCTCCAAGCAGGCACATTCACAGAGCACATGCACTAACCATTTGCCCCCATTTTCCATGGTTCTGTGATTCTAGATCTTCCTGCTGCTCCAAGGGAGGATCCAAGGAGTCTTCACATCTCCATTCCTTACCTTCACACTTGCACCACCTGTGTCCTGCCAGTTCCTTTGTACATCATTGCCCCATCCACTGAGGAGAGATATGACAAAGAAACCAGGTATCATTATTAAAACCATGTTTATGGATGACTTGAAATTGTTCATTCCAAGAATCCCAAATCACCTTAAAAAGGAACATTTTGCAGAGAGACAGAACAACTGGTTAAGATATATCATGGCTGCTCTGTGCTGTGATGGGTAATGACTAATTAATACCAATAATAACGCCAAGAGTGGAGAATGCCTCAGCGCTGGGTAGGCACTCTGGTAAGGCAATGCTTTATTGCAGCTCATTAAAGGAGAAAAAAAAGCAATAAAAGGCTTAAGAACCATCACAGATCCTGACTATATGAAGCTAATAAACCGTATGATAAACTATCATTTACATGAATAAGAAAAGGAATGGACATTTCATTTCCTATGCCTTTGTTGCTCCCATTCAGTTGCACTGATGGGGCTATTTGGGGAAGCCCCACAGAGCCTGTTTACAAGAGAACTTTGCAAAACAAAGACAGTCACGGTCAAAACTTTGCTGGTCAATTCAGTATATTTACATGGAAGAGCTGGGAAGAAAACAAGTATTCTGAAACAGCCTCGTGGGATAGTTCAGTTGGAAGTGGTAACTAGCAGGGAAGGATCTCATGGCTATCTAGATGTGTGTTGGCCACAGAAAAAGCATCTGGTTTCCAAACAGAGGTTTGATCAAACTTTCTTCATCCAGGCAAAAACACCATTGCACAACTCCCTGAGCAAAATGGCAACTGCCAAAGTGTTCTGCATGCAGGGAACAGCATTGTCCAAGTCTGCCTCCTGAGAAATCAGGCACAAGCTCTTTGCATTCCATAAATGTGGGAAATGTGCCATGCCAACACTTGTCAATACATTTCAGATGCACATATTCCATCTGAGCAGTTCCCAGAAACGATCCCATTTTCCCTCTCTCCTTTAACGAACAGAAAGGAATTGCTCTGGATTTGCAATGAAGGCACCTAAAAGCACAGTTGAAACCACTGTTTTTAAGAAGACCTTGCTATGCCATAACTTTTCACAGTTCAGTTGCTAAATTACACATTATAAAAATAAGTAAGTGCAATTGAGAGACTGTGTTAATCTCAGAAGTTTAAACACTGCTCTGTAATGACTGCTTTATAGTGGCCCATGGTAAAGTGCTTTATGGGGCGTGCAGGAGATTTGTCCGCACGCGTCCGTTAAACACTCCTGGGAATTTTCTCACACAGAGACACCAGGCCTGGCACAAAACTAAACATGGACAAAACACTGCCTCATTCTCACGGCACCAGGAATGCCACCCAGCGAGAAAACACTTTACAGCACCTAAGAGAGATAAGAACCACCAGCCAGCAGAGCAGTAAGATGTTGCTTTTGACAAAGCAGAATTTCCTAACCTGACAATCCATGCAGATTCTGGAAGCATGACAAAAACACAACTGTCTCCTAGCAAGGAAATGAGAGGTTTAGCATTGATTATAAAGAGATGATAAAGAAGCATGGGTGGTTTGTAGAGTAGTTTACTAAAGCCAGGAGAATTTAGAGCCGAATTAGGTTCTTGCACATAAAAATTCCCTGGAATTTAGGCTGAGTTCACACGTGATTACTCGCTCAGGCAGTCTGCAGCTGATAGACTGCACCCAACTGCCTTTTCTCTCTGGCCAAACAAGATCCATCCAGGCTGACTCAGATCCCAGGTGAAAAGACTTTTCAGTAAATTAAATATGATGGTAATCAAGTTGCAGACATGGTATCAGAGCTGTGTTTTTGTTTTATTATTTTAATAATCATGCTTCAGAATAGCACCACAGCTAAGCAAGATGGGGTTCTCAAGGGACAAAATTTGATGCCACACTAGACAAGTGTAAGCACACACAGCAAGGCACTGCATGAAGATCTTTGTGAGAAAGCATTGCCTCCCTCAGCCCTAAAACACTCACAAGCACTGAACTGAATTCTCAATCCTTCAGTGTTACCATTATTAGAGTATCATTCACCCACTTGTCTGCAAACTGCCTTCTTCTCCCACCAACTGCTCCGTCTCACAACAATACCTCATTTCTGGCTCAGAAGACCAACAAAAAGCTCTCCCCTGAGCTTTGGCAGTGTCCCCATGCTGCCTTGGCAGGAGGCAGCATGACAATGATTTGACAGGCATCCCCCCAAGGAGACTGCACACATCAGTCACGCTGCTGACACGCTCCACACCCGGGGGAGCTCATCCACACCAGGGGAGGTTTCTGGGTGCAGGCAGCTGCTCTTGATGGACCATCCTAAAGCAGCAGGTTTTCCTGTTTCACTAGCAGCAGAACCAGGAGGCACCTCTTTGCTGCGATGGTGCTGGTGACACTGCCACACTGGCTTGTGCCAAGTCTGCTTGAGTAAAGCAAAACAGCTTTGCTTTGAGTAGAGAGGGCTGAAGTCCTATTTCTAGTCCAATGACAAAGCTACTAAAATGAAACAGCACTGCAAAAACAATTGCAAGTTACCTCTTTATGATGATCTTTTTATGATGTGCAAAAAGTCTTTCCAACAAAAAAATATTTATCTTCTGATTTTGGTTTTTTTTAAAGGAAACTGAAGAACCACTCTCATTTTCAGAGGATGAGCTGTTGTTGGGTACCATCAAAAATAGCCAACATTTACTGTGCAGAACACAAATCATCTTGATCTGAATACTCTGACTGAATGAATGAACACTGACCCTCATCAACTGTTGTTTAAAGGATGGTCAGGATTAATAGCTTAAATGAAAGAATAAACATAAATCTTCTTTTCCTACACGAGGAAAGCAGGGGTTTGCAAATCTCCACGAAACAATCTTAAATCTCCTGAATGACAGTCCCAAGCTCTGGCCAGTGACTCATTTCAGAAGCTTGGCACGCTGGAACGCTCTGATTGATGCAGGCAATGGGAAACTGCCTTTGACTGAGGCTTCTGCCATCTTTAAAGTATGTCCAAGGCTCCTGGCAGGTTAACTCTTCCTGAAGATAATAAATCCCTTGTGAGACAGGAAGGCTGAACAGTCACATACTTCAAGACTAGCTCAATCTGTATAGCTCCAAGAACAACTTCCAGAGCAGGTGATAGCAAGCATATGACAAGCAAAGTTCCAGGAGGAATTCTGTTGAAAAAACAGAATTATGGGAAGCAGAACTGCTCATTTTATGGACATAGCTCTATTCCAGCACTCAGGCAGTAAAACTAAAATGAACTCCCTCTAAGTTAAAAATGCCCAATAGAACTCAAAAGGCAAGGTAATTAGTTTTTGACTTGACAGAGGGAGAGGACAGGTCACTCGTTCCCACAGAGAATATCTCACCCTGCTGACATCGAATGGGAACACATCTTTCAGTCAATCAGGGCTTTTTCTCCAAAGCTACATTTTCTGTGCTACAGATTTATAACCCTGGCCAAGCCTGTACCACTCTGGGCTAAACAAAAAACCTGAAGTCCATAAGAAATGTAGCAGCACATGGCCCAGCAGCCTCTCTTGTGGTGTCACAGCTCCCCCCACGGGATCAGGCTGCTCAGCCACTCCTCATTCCCGGGACTGACCCTCTGCCCACATCCCTCCCATTAATGCAGGCTCCTCAGGATCTCAGCTGTGACATCTGCTGATCAATACTTGTCCTGAGTGCAGGGACACAGCGAGTCAGGATGGCACCCATGGGATAAAGGCACCTTCTCTCTTTCCACCTTTCTCTTAGGAAAATGGAAGCAAATACCAGTCAGCAATGGAAGGTGTTAGCTCCAACATTAGAGAATAATTCCATGATAGATGAACACCTGAATGAGAGTCTGTATTGTGTGGGTGACAAAGGTGACACTTGCAACACCATCTGCCCTTGTCCTTTCTCCCACCCCCGGGTAAGGACCCACCTACTCTCATCCAACATAACGCATCTCTGGCACAAAAGCAAAACTGAAAACTCCAGCAGGAACATTAAGGATGTATTTATTGTCAAACAGTAGCACATCAAAATAAGCACACAAATATCATAGTAACTAACAAAATACAGGGGAATGCCTTGTGAATTCACCGAATTTTAGTTTCTGGCATCTTCAGAAAATCCATTTTTTTATTTGGCTGACAAAAAACCACAAAGCACAACCATCCTGTAATTGGAGAAATCAGACACATATGGGGACAATAATTATAGGCAGAATAAATTGGTTGAAAACAGATCCGTTTACTGTATTTCTAACCACCTCATACTTTTATTCTTCATTATTTGAGGGTTTGAGCTTTCTTTTTTTTCCTTATCTTGGCAGTCCCAAGATTTTTAGGTCTTGGTACTGTAGGGGCCAGTTTCTAAATGTTTATTATCTGGGCTGGCAATAGTGGCTTGTTCCACTGAGAGGATAAACAATTCACTTCGACAAAGTCTGATGTTACAGAAAAATGACTTATGTTTCTCATAATTACTCAAATTGGCGAAGCAAGTTTTTTCATGAAACAAATTATGAAATTGCTTGTTTGTTTAGTATTCGTCAAGCATGCTCTTATTTCAGTTATGAAAATTACACTGTTTTCTTCATTATAGCCAGTCAAACCATAAGACACAAAGCTTGAAGTTAACAGCGTAAGTACAGCTCTTTGAAGAAAATTAAAAAGCCCCACATCCCCAAAAAACAGTTTAGTTACTTCATAAAAGGCAATAGCATGGGATTAAGCCATTGCCTGTGGAAGAGCACTCTTGTGAAATTCTTCAACAGAACATACAAAAAGTTTGAGGAAAACAGAAATTTGTGTATGTTTAGGAGCAGGAGAACACAGAAAACACTCTTAAGGTGAGCTGTTCCAATTAAGCACCTTTATTGCAAACAAATGTTGGAAGACAACCTTAGTCCTTGACTAAAAGACATCCTGTTATTCATAGTCCCTGAGCCTTTTGCACCAAAATGGGAAAGGTGCATTGAATGTACCTTCAAATAAGTCCTTCGAATTATATTCTGACAAAATACATCAGACTTAAGTGAATCATCCTCAAGGACAACCTTAGCTGGGTGATGTAATCAGCAATTAAAATTCCAAAGTTGCTAATATGCCTCCAGTAATTGTTTTCTACATTATATCCAAGTACCTCCCTTCATAACTGCATTTATGCTAAAAAATTGCTGAAACACAACCCTTGGCTTCGCAAAGCACAGGCCAGGTGGATTTCATTGGGGAATCCACTCTGCTGTGAATGATTTTGTTCTCCCACACTGCCAAACTAAGAAAAATGCGGGCAAAAGCAGTAAGTCACACCCACTGACAACATTGTCTAATCACCCAATGGCATAAATTTATTGTGTAATTCTACATTCACTTTGTCAGTAGAGAAGGTACTAGAACCACTGCATCTGGTTAAGTGTAGGGTTATTTATCCCATGAGGACACAAGCAGTTATGACAAATGCATTTACTTTAGACAGTATTGCTTATACAGTCAAAGGACACACCAAAAATGACAATACACATCTATAAACTGGAATGTGTGAGATGGCTTCCACCAAGCTCTCACTGCCAATGCTGTTTCTGAGAGATGCGATATTGCAGCTTAGGTTTATTAGGATTGTGCTCAATCAGCCAGTCAGCAAGCCAAATCTGTGAACAAAAAAAACAAAACATAAATGTTTTCAGCTTTCTGTTGCTTTCTATTAAGTTCACAGAAGAATATTATAAAAGCATTATTTGAAACCTCTGCTAGAGATATTCTCCTACTGTGCTGCAAAATTCAGCTCTTTTAGAAAGAAATGGACATGCAGATGATGTGGTTTTTAAAAATGTTCTGTTAAATCTTCACAGCCTATACTGCTTTTGAACAATGCACCATGACCTTTAGAAGACAACTTGTCCTGGCAATGTTTATCTTTGTGAAAATATAAGACCATTTGAGCCATACTTCAAATAATTCAGCCAGCTCTGTTTTGGAATGCTGCTGCACAATATGCATGAAACTGCCTAATGAAATATTACTGCTGACAACACTCAGAGATACTTCATCCAGTAATCATTCATTAAGAGTGCCAGCCTTCTGCACTGAATCACCTTACAGTACCTGAGACGTAAAACCAAATCATGGTTACTTTTTGAAATTCATCTTTAAAGTTTTCCAGCACGCTGCATAAATGAGAATGTGGGCGGCAGGAATGCCTTGAGCCCTAATTCCATCTGGCACTCTGGGCCTGGCCTTAGGCAAATTAACCTTTTGCCTCGATTTCTCCACTTGTAAAGCAAAGTTTTTAACACATCCTTATTTACTTCACAAGGCTGTTGACGACTGGTTTCTGGAATGCTGAGAACAACAAACTTCATACCACACTGTGAAGAGCTGACAGAACAGCAGACAGGGAAGGTAAGCAACACTCTGCTTTTACTACCACGAATAAAAGGTTTGCAAAGGGAGAGCCAAGCAGAGCACTAGGACAGGTAAAGCAACAGCACAGTCGTAAGAACCCGAGACAGAAACGGAAAACAAACAAAATAGCCCAAAACACAAAACCCCTCAGGAAAACTACTTCAGAAAAAAAAGAAATCCTCAAATCATTTGAACCAAATAAATGTATCCTGTCACTTAAGGAACTGGATGAGACAACCTCTGTGCTGACAGCAAGTATTTCTGAGTGCACAGACACTTTCTGATGCCATCTGCAAAAGGAAAGGAAAGAAGAAAAGGATACTGGAAAAAAAAGCAACCCAACAGTCTCCCTGTAAGCCACCTAGCAGAAAACAAACTGAAAAGCAATAGGCAATATCTATTTCTGAAGCAGTATAAAATCAGCACTAGTTGCCTTCTGTTACAAGGTCACAGACATTATGGACAACAAAGAAGGTGCAAAGAGAACGTTTTTAGCAAAGCTGCTGACACTGCTTCATACAGCTTTCCTACAAGAAAGGAAGGAAAGAGTTGCCTCGATTAAGTCCCTATTAGATACCTCGTAATTGACTAGAAAATTGTGCTAAGAATGCAGATTAACTGGAAGCCAAAATAAATGAGTTAGAAAGACACAACATGCAAAAAAAAAAAATCAGTACTTAATATAGTAAAGAGAAGACTGAAGGGAAAGAAAATAGGAATACCTTTCAAATATGCAATAGGTTGCTAAAAAAAAGAGAAAATATATTACATTGTCTCCAATGTCTTTTGAGGATAGTAAAAGGGGGAAAAAAGGTAATGGGCTTAAAGTTGGAGCCAGGAGATTTAGGCTATCTTTTAGTGAAAGCTTTTAACAAGTATAATTAAGCACTGAAACAAAATGCCTGAGGAGACTGTAGATTCTCCATCATTTGGAGTGCTAAACCACAGGCCAGACACACATTTGTTAGGAACAGATACAACTGGTTTGGCCTTTGGGCAAAGGAGTGGACTCCATCTCTGTTTTCTAGATTTCTATGGTAACAGTGCCAGACATACAGATAAAGTAAACAGGGTACAAAGCTGGAATAATCAAGGTACATTAAACATGGCCTCATGTGTATCACACAGCTCATAGGAACACCCCCAAGTGATTTTTAAGGCCTTTTTTTCTGAAAAGTATCCTTTAGAAAAATGCAATATTGATTATAAATGTGATAATGATGCAAATCCACAACTGCCAGCAAGTTGTTGCACAGATTAATTATCTGCACGCTTAAATAAGTACTGGTGTGAATGACTGGAGTTTTAAGAACACAAAGATACATTAACCATGTTTTTGCAGATGTAAGAAAACTGGTTTTGTTTAGGCACTAAAACACACTCTTGTGTCATCTCTAACAAACAAATCAACTTCTTGAAACCGAATGTTAGAGTAGCCAATCAGCTGACAGCTAAAACAGCGCAGCTCTTCACCCACAGAGCCGTTCTGCTAGGAACAGGGAGCTCCTAAAGCAAGTGACTGGGTCCCAGGGCTGGCAGCAGTGCTGGACCCGGCACGTACCATGGGGTCTGCTGGCTTCTCTTTGCACAGGGCAGTGAGCCCTGCCAGCAGCGTGGGCTTCACATACAGGTTCAGGTAATCCCGAGCCCTCTGGCCAGTGGGAACTGGCTCCAAGATTGCTGCAAGGAGAACCACAGGTGTTAGAAAGCAGCCTCTAGAGTGATTAAACCAAACATTCTTTCAAAGGTTGTTTATATGTGAGCTGCTCTTTTCCTTAGTAAGTTAATAGTACATCATGGGTTTTATAGCTTCTCCCACAACAAACTGCAAAGAAACTCCCTAAACTTCTTTACTGTGTCCCTGAGGTAATTTTACTAATTATAGGCTATTATGAAAAGGGAGGAAATCAGATCATCTGGGGAAAACCTGAATCCTTGAAGATTAATTTGGTGCAGAAGAGAAACAGTATATCCCATGTTTAGCACTTTATTCTTCCAGTGTGAAGCTGGTTTCTGAAGACCCTAAAAATCTCACCCTTAGTCTTGCTCTGATTGTCAGGGTGAGAAGAGACATGGTTTACACAATGGGTAAGGTTTGTAAGGAACTGCAACATCTTTTATTAAACTCACTGATACAGCTGACAAAAAGTATCAGTAGACTCTTTATTCTAGCAGTTTCACTTGCATCTTTCTGTCAAAGAGCAAATCCTGCTACATTACAAACCAGAGATCCTCTGGCAGCCTTTCCAGGTTCTAAGGCCCTTTTCTCTGGCCCTTAACTTTGGATTTGCACTGTCATGTGAGCATCCAGCTGCTTCTGAATAGCAATTATTCCGCCTGAATCCAAGGAAAGAGTCAATCTTGTCAAGTCAACCAAGGCTGACTGTGCCAGAAACACTTACTGGAGTATAACAGCTTCCTGTTTCTTATTTACCAGCTTTGACTGCTCCACTTACCAGAGCAGAGTTTAAAAACTGGAAGCAATCTCTGTAAATACACTGGCTCTTCAGACAGATTTTTGGTAAGCCTTTCATAGCAGAAAATGTCAGCTTACACATAAAGAGACGCACAATCCTGTAAAGCAAACAAACCCAACCTCTCCTAATCAGTTGTATCTGGAGTCAGGGCAGGAGAGGGAAGAACTCCATCCTCCCCACGACTGGCAGTGAACCAACTGCACCATTTTACCTTCTGGAAATATGAATCGAATTTCCTTCTCTGCTGAGGAGATGCTGAGACTGCCGTGGAGCCCATTCCTCAGCTCATCAGTCCCAAAGAGTGCTCTTAAGCTGAAAACAAGAAATAACTGCTTGGAGGGCAACTGCAAATCCCTTCCAAGTCTCTGCAGCCTGAGAGCACAGAAAAGCAGTAGATATGGACTAATTAACAAGACACTGGCTGGCTTTTGTTTTAAACATAAGAAGTAGCTACCTAAAACTTAATGTTCATACACTCAGCATTCCACATAAAATAGCTGAACTTTGCATACTAAAAACCAGCAGTGAAAAGCTGTTGCACAAAACTGAGAGATAAGAACCCTGTGTCTGTACTGTACAAACAAATTAAAAAAAAAAAAGGAATTCTGGTCTCAATCCAAAGAATGACAAAATAATCCTACTGACTTGTCCAAGGCCTGTCAGTGAGTTAGTTACCTGGAAGGGTGAGTTATCCTAGCTCTCAGGCTGTTGGATGGTCCCAGCAATTCCTTCCAGTAAGAGACTGCACAATTTCTAGCAAGAACCATAGCAACTATAGGACCAGAACTCATATAGGCTGTTAAATTAGGAAAAAACACTTTTCCAAATTGTTCTGCATAGAAGTTGCTACATTGCTCTGGGCTTAACTGGAGCTTCCTTTTCTATAAAGTGTAGAAGAAAAAAAAAATATAATTAAAATGGCTTGCTACATTGAAACAGGTTAGAGCATTAAAGGCAGAACATCCTCTCCTGCAGTCGTATCTTCAAATGCAGACCACAGGGTAACTTCTGAAATTCCTCTGGTTCAGCCACATCGGATCCTCTTCTAGACTGAGAGTAACAAAGAGCAAAAGTTTTCCAAGTTAATTAAAGAAACAGCTCATTTGAGTAAGATGTGATTTTAGCCCAGGCAAACTTCAGCAATTTCTAGCTGCCAGATGACAGAGCACTGTACAGAAGTGAAGAGCATTACAAGGGCAGTATTTTATTACTCAGCTGCTACAACATAATGTTCTACTTTTAAACAAGTTTCTCTCCAGCCCACACTGTTAATTACACAATTGTTCTATTTTTCATTCAGTGCTTTGTGACTCTCCCAATAGCTGCCTAACCTGCAGGTGGCCAGGATCAGGACAACTTTGGGAAGTTATCAGAAACCACAGCCAAGAAAAAAATTTTAAAGTACATTCTTCGAGTTCAAACTTGTATAACATGAGAGTTCCACATACTCAAGAGTCCTAATAATTTTGGTGTCAAAAGTCACTGCAGACATCAGAAGACTCTACTAACACAATGCAATTAAATAAATAAATAATGTGTTTTATCTCATCTTCTGATACGTATTGAATCAACAGAAACATGGAATGGTTTGCATTGAAAGGTGTCTTAAAAATCATCTTGTTTCAAACCCCCTGCCACAGACTGGGACACCTTCCACTAGACCAGGTTGCTCAAACCCCAAACCTGGTCTTGGACACTTCCAGGGATGGAGCAGCCACAGCTTGTCTGGGCAGTCTGTGCCAGGGCCTCACCCCCCTCATGGGGAAGAACTTCTTCCCAATACCCCATCTAAGCCTGCCCTCTGGCAGTAGGAAGCCATTCTCCCTTGTCCCACCACTCCATGGCCTTGTCCAAAGTCCCTCTCCAGTTCTCTGGAGCTCCTTCAGGCACTGGAAGGGGCTCTCAGGTCCCCCTGGTGCCTTTTCTTCTACAGGATGAACAAGCACAGCTCTCCGAGCCTGCCTCCGGAGCAGGGGGGCTCCAGCCCAGGGGAGGGAGCATCCTCATGACCTCTTCTGGAGTAGCTCCAAGAGATCCATAAATAAATATATATTAAAAATATATATTTATTAATATAAATAAATATTAAAACATAAATAAAACAACCAGAAAGGTTACGGAGGAAGCGAAAAACACGAAACAAAACGAGACTTTGGGGGAGGAGGCGGAGGGGCCCGGCCGCCCACAGGCGCGAGGGCGCAGCGCCCCCCAGCGGCCGCCCGGCCGGGCACTTTGAATATTCATGAGCTCATTTCAATATTCATGAAAGCTATTTTCCGTAAAAACAATGGAAACAAAAAATTGGTTAGGCTGCAACTGGCCAGCTATCGAATTCAATTAATTCTCTAATATCTATTATATCTCTAATATCTTCAATTAATGATCTAATATCTAAGCTGCACACTGCACAAAATCTTGTGAGATCTGAATGACACACTCTTCAAAGAGCTGCCTTGGAAAGCTCACACATCTGCTCCATACGTTTGCTAAATCTGAGTTTATTAATAAAGTCTGTGTTTTCCTGTGGTCAGCGAAATAGTTGGTCTGCTCTGTTCCATCCCATGCACCAAAAAGCATCTCCTCACAGAATCTGGCAGCAATGTTTAATGACATGAAGAACATGAATCAATTTTTGGACACACAAGCTTTTAGTTACTGGCTTGATTGCTAGAAGTTAAGTATTTTCCTGACTGATAAATTACGGCTATTTTCTCTGGAGCACAGCCTGTTACCTGAATGATGTGGAATCCTGACCGGAGAATGAGATCCTCTATTTCTTCTTCTTTATTAATGACATCTGGTTTGATGATAGCCAGAGTTCTTTCCACATAAATCTGAGGTTCAGGCATTAAGACTTCCATCCTGGCTTCTAAATTAGAATTCACTTGCCCCTTTCGTACTGCAATGACACCAGCACATGACATTTGGAATTTGTCTACTGCACAGTCACCTATGGTGACACTCACCATGAACCCCAGGAACAGAGAGGGTCACACCCACCTCACAAAATCCATGTGAGATCTTCTCTGCACGTGCTACCACTCTGTAGTTCACATTCCCATTTTCAGTGCAGAGGCATTTTGTTGAAAGTAAGGCCAAAATTTAATGTTGTTATTCACAAAGTTGGACAGTGTATGAAGAGAGAGAGGCATTATCTCACACCCTGATGTGGGCTCTCTGTGCTCCTACACCCTCCATCCACTGTGGACTCCTTCAAACCCCAAATCTGTATCCTCACACGAGGACTGTGGGTGGGACTAATGACTTGGAGCTGGTCCACCGTAAGCCTTGGGGTAATTTCTCAATGGTTATTTAATTTCTGTATTTATGGGCTCCAGACAAAGTGCTGGTTTTCTGACTGAGCAGACACACTGGCAAGCTGAGAGCACAGAACTGTGCTGTGAGTGGTGGAACCAGTGAGGGGGTTTCTGACAGACCTATCTCTATTTGTAACCTTCTTTTTCATCACGGAATGGTTTGGGTTGGGAGGGACCCTGAAGACCATGCAGTTCCACCCTGCTATGGGCAGGGACACCTTCCACCATCCCAGGTTGCTCCAAGCCCCATCCAACCTGGCCTTGAGCACTTCCACGGATGCAGCAGCCACAGCCACACTGGACAGTATGTGCCAGGGCCTCACCACCCTCAAAGTCAAGAACTGCTTCCCAGTATCCCACCGAACCCTGCCCTCTGTCAATGGGAAGCCATTCCCCCTTTTCCTGCCTCTCCCTGTCCTTGCCCAAGTCCCTCTCCATCTCTTTTGGAGCCCCTTTAGGCACTGGGAGGGGGTCGAAGGTTTCCATGGAACTTTCTCTTCTCCAGGCTAAACACCCTCAGCTCTCTCAACCTTTTAGAGAGAACTGCGAGCGCAGGACGCTGCGGGGGATCCTGACAGAGCCTCAGAGAACCCCACACAACAGCACCTGCAGCCCTTCCCTCGCCCCCTGCCCGCCGTGTCCCCCCGCTCCCTGGCTCTCTCAATCCGCCCTGCACCAGACACGCAGGCCCTGCCTGGCTGCTCCCTGCTGCAAAGTCCGCTTGTAACCCCCAAATGCACCTGCCTTGGGGCCCGGCCAGGCTCTGCTATCCCGGCTCCGGGGCTCCGCCGGACCCGCCGCCGTTGCCGGGCGATGGCGGGGCCGGCCCCGGGCACAAGATGGCGCCCGCGAGCCTCGGCGGGGCGGGACGAAGATGGCGGCCGGGAGCGGCGCGGTGATGGCGGCGGAGGCGGAGCACGCCTCAGGGTCGGGACCGCCGCGAGCTCCGCGCACACCACGGGAGGCCATGGCTGCCCTGACATGGGCTCCGTGTGTGGTGTGGGTGTAAAGAGCAGAGTGGCGTGATCTCCGGGGCGCATCTCAAAATCCTCATTCCTCCCTGACAACAAAAGCTTTATGTCGGTTTCACCTCACGCTCAGAACTGCTGAGGGAGCCACGCGCTCACAACAAACGCTCATGAAGAGACGTGGCGCGATTTATTGGCGGGGAAAAAATAAAGGAAAAGCCAGCAGCCGTTGCAGGTCATTTGGCAGCGTTTGTGGCAGGTTTCCTGCGGACGCGCCTCAGCAGCGGCGGCGGGGCGGGAGCTGCACTGCCCTGAGGCACAGCTCTCTAATGGTGGCTCTCAGCACTGCGAGCGGCTTACAGCGGTTAACCGGTGCCACTTCAGTTTAACACAAAATGTGTAACGAATAGGAAACCTTCACCGTTTTGTGCATTAAGCCATCATGAGCTGGGCATTAAGCAGAGCTGGGGAGCCGCGTTCTCAGGGGATTTTCCCCAAATTTTACCTCCGCGGCGCCAATGCGTTTGCTCCCCACACATCCCCTATCTCCCCGGCTCTCCGGGGGCAGCCGGCCGGCAGGAATTGGCTGTGCAGTAGCCACTGTCCCCCCACCGTGACGCTCAGGCGCGGGTGCCCCGGTGTCACCTCCCGTCCTTGTTTACCGGCGCTCCCGGGTGGAGCCGGGCCAGCTGGCCCCGCTATCGGGGCGTGGGCCGGTGAGCGGCCCCGATAACTGCGGCGCTGCCTCCGCCGCCCCGCTGCCCGTCCCCTCCGCACCGTGCTCTCATGAAACTGCGATCCGAGGTGCTGCAACACCGGGGGCTCGCGGCTGAGTTCAGCCAAAACTGGGCATTGCACCCAGACCCCTGAGGTGACACTGACAAGGGGACGGAGGGAAAACACAAGTGTGCAGGTCTTAAATTTTAATGGTATCAGACTGAAAAAGGCAAAGGAGGAAAAACAAAAAATCCCCTAGGATTTGGAGCCATAGGTGCTGACCCTATGTGCTCTGATTAGGTGAGGAAATAGCAAATTTACAGGAAAAGCTGGTTTTAGTGTAAGAAAAACCCATTTTGCCTGAATCCTTTTCATGAGTAATGTGAATAATATAAATATAGAAATAAGAAATAAAAATATGCAGTTATTTCCTTGCAGCCAACTTGAAATATATTTAAAAACTGAAGACTGACATTGTATTCATATACCTTAAAAAGTAAAGGTTCCAAGTACACAAGACAAATTCAGATACAGGCTTTCCTTCACCAACACAGGCAGATGACATTTTTTCTTTAACCCTATCCAATATTTAATTTGAAGACATTGTAAACACTGCAATTTCACAGAGATAACGGATAAACATGTTTTATTTTTTAAGAAATGCTGATAGAAAGAGTCCACCAGTTTTTTAGTTTACTTCAGAGTTAATACAGCAAGTCATTTCTTTTCCAAGTCAATGAGCACAAGTCTGACAGCCCTTGCTTAAATTTAGCAGTTCAAAGGCTTCCTCTGCCTGCATGAACACTTCAGAATTATTATTACATAAGAAATGTTGAATTTAATACGTATGTTTCACTGTGAAGGTGGTTCTCTTGCAGTTTCTTTACCGTGTGCATTTTTTTTAAACCGCCCAGGGCATGAACCCCGAAGCAGCGTGCAGCGCAGCCCGAGGCTGGGGTTCGGGAGCAGGGCCCTGCCCAGCTCCCTGCCCACCCGCTCCTCGGGCTGTGCCACACTTCCTCCCTGTTTCCAGAAGCATTTCTGGAGGGCGGGGATGGTCTAATTTTAGTGCGGGGAGAATCCTCCTCTCTCCAATGAGCGAGCGGCTGCATCTGGAGCTGCAGCCAATTACCCGGGTTTCCTCCTGCTGCACTTCCCACGATGGTTTAATAATGCAGAAGCACAAATTTAAAGTGGCCCCACACGTTAAGAGAAAATAACATTATGTGCTTCCCTAACAAAGCTGTTCAACAGTACTAGAATCTCCAATGTTTCTATAAAGACTTGGATTCCATAAACCTGACCTTAAAACAATGTGTTAATATCATTATATTTATTGTCTTTACAGAACTTGAAATAATATTTCTGATAACTAAAAGGCTGGTGCAAAGCATCTTCCGTAACTTCTGTAGGCCAGGGATGGGCTTTTAGGAAAACAAACAAAACAAAAAAGGAAAATTATAACTACAATGCAATGAACAACTGGGATTCTGAACACTTCTCAGGGCATAGCCTGGCTGCTGTATCTTATCTGTTAAGCGGTTTAACAAACCTTAGTTGTCTCACTTATTTTTAGCTGGCATGGAATATATCACCAAAAGATTGTGGCTGCAGGTGCATTTACATCCCAGCAACACCAGGTAAGTAACATTTTAAGGGAAAATATTATTTAAGAGCTTTGCCCTGTGATAGTGCAAGAAGGTGCAAAAACGAATGTCTTGCAGACTGTTAAAAAGGAAACAAGAACAGAATTATAAAAATAAGAGAAGTAAAGCTAATCAAGTAATACCAGCTAGTAAAACTGATTAAAAATTAAGCTTGCACATCTTTTAGCTTTGTTTGCATTTTGACGTTAAGTAGAGAAAAATGTTTTTGCTCCAGCAGCTATGTTCTAACAATACCTTACCACACATACAACTTCCATCCACCACGGGCTCTCTTTCCTTTATTTCTTTTCATGATGAGCTGCCATACCTACCCACAGCACCAGCTTACCTTCACTGCTTGCTCCACCCATGCATGCTCTTGCAGTGCAGAGTGACGGAAATCCTGTGATCAAGGCAACTTCCTCTCCCACACGCCTGCTCTCCTCCATTTCTGCCTTCTCACAACTAAACAATTCTCCTTCTGCTGCTCATCTGCACGCTTGTAATCCCAGTGAGCTTTTCATTGCTGCTGCTTAACCCTTGTCAAGCCTTCCTGTCCGTTTTCCTCTACTTGTTATCCCACCATTTTCTGTAAAGATAAAAGTGATAAAATATTCTCTTCATGTTTCCTCTGTCTACAAGTCTCTAAGTGGCAGTAACAAAAAGCTTATCAACATGTCTTCTGTAACTCCATCACTTGCCCTGATAACTTCACCCCATTTCATTTCCTGATCTTCCCAACACTCACTCTTTCATTTGTTCACAGCTTTAGTCATTCAGTCTGCTCTGATTCCTAGCACCCACAGAGATATGCTTGTCTCTTTTATAATTTAAAAAACATTAAAAAAGTGCCTTTGGTATAAGTGCCTCTTGCCACCTCATAGGTTCTTCCAGTCACACCTCTTTGTTTCTTGTTGGGTTCTACCCAAAATGCCCATCAAAGTTGGTTTTGCTTCCTCTTATCTGAAAGCTTCTCAAACCATTTTAAGCCAATCTCTTGTTGGCCCTTCAGTCACTTGTAGCATATCTAGCTCATATCTCAGCTTAGTTTTTCCTCACTTTTCACTTCTCCAGTCACTGTTTCTTCATGGTTTGCCAATCCCTTCTTCCCCTGTGTTTCTTTCCTTTTTCTGCAGGAGCATTGGTGAGCACTGTGCTTGACTCTCCTCCCTTCCCTCCAAGCTCACTGTACCTTTTGTTTCACTCTCTAAAACATCTCCTGTTTCCTGGCAGCCCTACAGCTGAATCCCACCGCTGCCCTTTTAGCATATCTAGCTCATGTCTCAGCTTAGTTTTTGCAGTTTTTCCTCACTTTTCACTTCTCCAGTCACTGTTTCTTCATGGTTTGCCAATCCCTTCTTCCCCTGTGTTTCTTTCCTTTTTCTGCAGGAGCATTGGTGAGCACTGTGCTTGACTCTCCTCCCTTCCCTCCAAGCTCACTGTACCTTTTGTTTCACTCTCTAAAACATCTCCTGTTTCCTGGCAGCCCTACAGCTGAATCCCACCGCTGCCCTTTTGGACAAACACCTTCCTGCTTTATCCCACCTTGTGGCTCAGGATGAGCTCCTGCTGAACGCCTGCAGAGGCTGGGGCTGACAACTGACTTCCTGTAAAGCTCCTCCTCATCTATATACAGACATTCTACATAAATACTGCATATAGGTATCAGGCTTTCACCTAAACTTTAGAGCAGAAACACTTGCATATGTTTGCTGCTTCATTGTTCTAGACAATGTTTAACCTAATGCTTGCTTGGATTATCCCTGAGGCCACCAAGCTCAGAGACAAGTAGTCACTGTGGTCCTACCACAATGAAGAAATGAATGTATGAATAAACCAATAACAATATTTTATCTAACAAATTAAAAGAGGCAATTGGTTAAATAAGGCTTTTTTAAAACTATATTGTCAATTCCTCCTTAAAGACATCTTCTATTCATCTTAATTCCATATACCATAAGGAATCCTTTTTGCCATACTTATTTGGGCCATTACATTCAGTCCCAGCATTAAAATATATGGGATTACTTGCATAGTTGTTATTATTATTAATAAAATGTATTTAATTATGCTGTGCATAAAGACTAACTCAGACAGAAGTTTCCTATAATGTGGTGTTTGGTGTAGAGCAGGCAGTCTGTGACCTGAGATGCTTACAATCAATTTAGACAAGACAGGCATAGGATGTGGGAAACAGAGAAATTACACCAAGTTTTAAGGCAGTGGATGATATTTTGTTTCTTTTTTTTTTCTTTTTTAGAAGAGAAGCTAGAAAAATCAACAGAAGAGAAATGATGAGGAAATGGAGGATGACCAAGAGAAAGAAGGAAATAATGAAGATGGGCATGGGACAAAACCCATATAAACAGACAGCAAAGGCAGGGCTTGGC